TCTATATATATATATATATATATATATATATATGTCGATAATAAATAATTTTATATTAATATATAAAAAAAGAAATTTGTTTAAAAAATGATTGCGCGATAACGAACTTTAATTTTGAGCAATTATAGAAAGATCAAAGCAGTTGTCCTTATTGTGAATATTTGATAAGTCATTCGAGAAGAATGCAAGAGGAATCGCTAACTGCATCTCTGATTTCTTTATAATTTTACGGAGCATTCATGTCTTTCTTATCGCTACGGAGTCAAGAGGTCTAAGTGGCTTGCCGATCCATTAACATAAGTATAGCATCATTTCTTTATTAGAGTCCACCAATCGGTTGCGTTATCCAAATTCGACTACAGCAGTTGAGGGGGTTAATGATAGCCGAGGATAATGGCATGCGCAGTCAAGGATCGAGACAGATTACAAGCATAGCGAGAAAGAAGGAGAGAGACAGAACGGGTGACATGGAACGCGAAGTCTGATAGAAGGAATAGCTCTTGCCGAGGACCGGCATTCCAGGTGCCTATTTCGAGAATGGCTGGATTCGTTTTCGGGTGTTGTGTCCGCGCCTCTATTTCGCCCTTCTTGCCACCCTGCTCGCTTTGTCCATTGGAATCACGCCAGTTATCGCGGTAGTACGAGACGCGTTCTTTCTTGATCTCGCCGTCGGCGATACGTCGCTCCCTTCCCTTCTCGACGTTTTCGTTCGATACCGGCATCCCGGCATTCGCCTGGACCACGGACACTCCCGGCGAACTGCCCGAGATTTTTAATCTCGAGATTCTCGAGTCCAAAATCACTATTCACTTCACTCAAAAACCGTGACGGTAATTTCGGGAACATTGTATGTACGTTTCATCTTCTCTTCTTACGCTTCTTTATCCGACATTTTAAAAGGAGAAATTATCTTTGAAAGAAAATTATCTTAATGAAGTCCGATTCTTTCAAAATTCTTAACGATAACATCGTTCCACGAACATTTATATCAAATTGAAGTAATTTCCTTGTCTTAATCGCAGCTATAATGACGAAGAAACCAACGTTTCTTATTTCGCGATAACAAAAATAAGTTTCTTCGGTCTTCTGACGATGTCAGATAAAGAGAAATAAGAATCCGAGAGTTTTATATAGAATATTTCAAAATTACGATCATCCTTTAAGTTCTGGATTCTTTATCTAATTAAGGAACGTTTTTTGCTTAATAAAGCTTTAATGTAATTTGGATTTATTTCTATTCTATATTCTTATTACTCTTTCAAATATATAACAACGTTGTATAATTAATTCACAAGTTAAAAGTTATATTAAAGTGAAATCTAGTTAAACGTTCTAGCTTAATTTTACACTATACGGCTTTGTTGCATAATTTGAATATCCCCATTGATACCCGTGTTTAAGGATTAACAACTTCGAAACAACAGTTTGCCATGCAGACTTAAAAGCGTCAAGCATAAGATGTTTAATTAAGGCATGTAAGTTTAGTAGAATAATTCATAAAAAAACAATTAATTCTAAATACGCGAGACAGATTTAAACTTGATATTTTTTGCTACTTATGAATGACGAGCTATTGCATTTTTGACAATAGCTACGCTATAGGCGGGCAGCATAAGAGTTTCGGCAGTCAATACAGTTCTGTTTGAAAAATGGTTTCCCTGTTTGACCCGAAGAAAGGTTTGTTTGTTCAAAAGCGTCTCGAGCTGAATACTCCCAAAGCTGAATACTACCAAACAGTCTAGCCTTCTGCATGTATCATAAATTTTGCTCCATTTTCGATACAATGGGATCTATATGATTCCACTTAAAAAAAAAAATGATTTTATCTTTTTTTTTTACGTATTGCTATTCGTTATGGCAACGTTTTTCGACGGTACGAAGTTTCGGGTGATCTCGCTGAGGATCAAGAATCGTGAAATAGGCACTAGCGGATATCCATACCCATATACGGCACGTACAGCATCAAAATTCCGTCAGCATGCAATATCATAGCGGTTGCAGTATCCAGCGCAGTAAAAACCTCGTCTCGACCAAAGAAGCGAAGGACCAAGGAGAGAGTGCAGCAACGAACGGGGTGTGTACGGCGGGAGATGCAGCGACAGGCAGCCATTTTAATTACCTAATTTTTTCGACGGCATCTTAAAGCCTCGAAGACAATTACTAACGTACATGACGAACTCGTCGGGTCTGAAAATGCGGTTTAAAATTTTTATCCCTTTACGAACACAGGTCAGGAGCCTGGTTATCTTTTGGGTTATCTATTCGGTTCTACAAAGAGCCAACAATAATCGGCCATGCTGGACGAGTAACCTTGACGTAAAATGGAAATTCATATCGAAGTTAAACAAAAAATAATCAGGAAACATGGCGAAGTTTAAACGATTGCTATCGATATACTAGATTCGAATAAGCCGAGATATCGCATTCGAAAATTCAGAGTAATCGAAAATAATCCTGAGCGATACTACCAGCTGGACTACAATTAAATTCAATTCCCCGACACGAAGAGACTCAAATGTCGAATCTCTTCTCTCGAAAATTTCTACTGCCCGGCACACTCCTAGTGATTAGAAACACATGCCATTAGCAACAGTTCGGATACCTGATAGTTTCAAACTTCCGGCGCAATTTCTTGGTAATGAGACTACCTCCTCTTTAATCTTTTATGCCCTTCGGTTCTAACAAAACAACATGTACCTCGTTTTTTCCTTAATTTTCTTAGAACAAAGCAAGATTTATTTCGCAAAGCGCGTGCTTGTCATTGAAATTTTTATTTTTCCCGGAACCTCCGTAAGAGTGACTATCCCAAATTTCCGTCTGGCGTATATAAAAATTCACGCGTAGTAGTTGGAATGTCGATTTCGCCTCGACACATCGACGTATTCGTTCGATAACATATAGACTCTCCATTTATTCTTTCTTTTTCCCTCTTTCCGTCTCTTTTGCCCTTTCATGTCGACTACTATTCTGTTTCGATGAAAAGCTCGACCAGTTCGGGCGTAAACGATGGCGAGTATTCAGGAGTGTATTGCGAAAATTGTGCCAATGGAGAGGCAAATCGCGTTCGCACAAGTGGCTTGAAAAATTTAACTTTGGTTGGCGCATTTCGATATCGAAACAGAAGTCGTCTCAGTCGCCGCAATTTTTGTACGTACATATATCTTTAAATACAGAATTATATTTGCAATAGTTTGTATTACGTGAAAAAAGAAAAAAAAAAAGATAATAGCACTCTGTTCGCGAAAAGCAGAACAAATAATTGTTCCTTCTCAAACACATTCCTGTACAATACCAATGTACAATTAAGATTAATTGGTTCGTGTGCAGCGTACCGTGATAGATGATAGACACAGAAGTAATGTCTCGAGTACCATCTCACCGCAACGGTATATTACAACTCGCGCTATTATGTATAAACTGCAGGATGTTTGGTGAGTAGATAGCGGAGAAAGAGTATAAATCATAATTATGAGCTTTGCGCGCATAGTAATATAAGTAAAACCGCCCATCAAAATAATGCCGACTATCAAGACAACAGAAATCAGACGAACAGTTTAGAAGACGCTGTTTGAACGCTCTCGTACTACTTGGGTAAGCAAGTCAGTCTGGATAATCCTATTTCAAGTTCTCTTTCTCGAAGCATACCGTATTCTACATCCCACTGTCAATGCGAAAAACTAACATTGAACGGGCCAGGTAAAAGGGAACAATAACAGAAAAGAGGAAAATAGAATTCCATGAGAAATTTTCTCTCCGTGAAAGTGGCGTGGAACGAAAACACGCTTCAAAAACGATCGTCGAGAGATCGGTGTAGATTCTGCGAATATAGCAAGAGAGAGGATGACGATCTAGTATACTTGATACTCACGTTACTTTCGAGCCGGCGATTACGCTTATTGCAGTCGTCTAATAACGGAGGATTGTTTTCAGCAAGAAGCGAGCCGTTGTTCCGAATTATTCCGCGCCTTTGGACCTGCAACAGGAAGCATAAAATGAAATTAATGTCGTAATAATCGCACTGCCGCATAACGTAAGTCAGCAAAGCCGCGCCCTTGAGACGCGGTTAATTCCGCAATAATTGTACTACACGGCAAATTATCGCGATTGTATTACACGCTTCGCGATACACGTGGACAGGCTCTCAGTGTTAGCACCGGAAACAGACTCGCTTTAATGCGCGAAGCATAGTCTTGTGTTGTACAGAACAATTCGGGAGAGAACAGTAATGCTTCTGATATGTTTAGAAGATAAAATAAACGAGAGTTCCTGTTAACGTAAGTGTATCACTGATACACTCCATTTGGCTAATAATAATTTAACTAACAACAGCTAATAATTTAGATAAAAATACGTAAACAAGAAAGAATTATAATAAATTAGTTAAAATATGTACATCGAAATGTATAATCCATACACGGAGAAAATTTTATATTCAGTTTTAATACAATTTTAAATCACACTTTACTATGTCTTGTATTTTCGATGGACTCTCACAACATGTGATTTCGACTTAACTTTTACTATGGTATTACTAATTTTTATCACATAAATAAAGTAATTATTTCGTTAAGCCATATTCTAACATGAAAACAGTTAATTTTTACTATGGTACGCAAATAAAATTTGTTAGGTATATTTTTGTAATAAAAAATTTTTACTATGAAAAAGTGTAAAAATTACGTTATATCATTGTTTAAAAAAAAATAACTATAGCATTTAAACTTATAATTTACATGAAGACCGCAGCTACTATCACATTTTATAGTAATTTTAAATATAAAATTTTCTCCGTGTATGTATAATAAATATTACTTCTTTCAATTACTATTTTGTGTAAAAATATATAATGCGAATGTTTGCATTATATACTTTGGTTCTCACTTTCTTCGGACAAAGAGTAACGTGTATGCGGGTAGAAAAATAGGTCCAACACGGGTGTCAGCTTTCCAACAATTCTTTCAGGTATAATCGTGCCGAATCTCCTTACCCGTGCGAAAAAACGCCAAACGCAAATGCTTCATCAGTCGACATTCTCATCGCCCATTTAGCGTTAAATGCGGCAGCCCGACTCTCATCTTGTGCCCACGCTGAATGCGATCATCTTCCCGATAGACAAGCGGAACTCGTGTGAGCTGGATTTATCTCCAGTAAAGATCGCAGAAAAAACGGTTGCGCATTCACCGGCACAAGTAAATTTCTTTCGCCGACTTCCGAAAAAATTGCGCCCATGTGTGCGATTTTATCGCAACATAACTCAAGAGCACGCGAAGCATACAAATTTCGTACATAAGGAGTCTCGGTATCACCGGATATAGTTTTAATTACAATTTCTATGATTAATTTGAAACGAATTTGAAATGAATTTCCTTAATAAAACGCTAAAAAAAAAGAGTATTATTTATTAAATTGTTTTCAATTAATGTAATTTTATAACACTAAAAATATCAGATTAAAATACTATTAATTTTAAATTAACATTATTTAAAAATTATATTTTTGTTTTAATTATGTAAAAAGAGATGTAAAAATTATACATCTCTTTTTATAATATTATAATTTAATCATAATATAAATAATATATAATTTATAATATAATTTTAAAATTATTAAAAAAGAATTTAAAAATGTCTCAATCGTTAAAAATATCGCATTGTCGTCACATTCAGTCGAGTTAACTCCACTCTCTTCGGTCATAATAATTTAAAAGAATGAGTTAAGAGACGATTGTTTCTCTGTGTTCAATGACTTGTCGTTGAGTTATAATGGCTCGCTATAAAAACCGATGAGTATTATTTATGATACCCGAAGACCCTAGGAGCGCACACATTTGTCCGCTCGGCAGGATGTACCACGTTCGTTTTCGAGACGACGACGAATCGCCACAGACAGCTTCGTCGACAGCATCGTCGTTTCTACCTACCGTCTCTCGTTTAAACGAAACACGTCCGCTCCGATACCAAACTCACTGAGCAAAGGAAGCAAGGAAATATTCGCGCTCCGTACGTCGTTGTGTCAAAACAAAAAGAGATCAGCGGAAGGGAAACAAAATCGTATAGAGAGAAGGTCTATAAAGGAAGAGAATACGAATAAAGAACAAGAGAAATAGAGAGAGAGAGAGGGGGGGGGGAGGGAGGAGGGGTAACAGAGAGATGCGAAGAAAGAAAGATACGAAACGAAAAACGGAGAGAAAGAGTGAAAGCGAGATAACGAACAAGTAGGAGAAGAAATGGAAACAAAAGGCGAAAGGGAACGGAAGGGAAGTGGGAAAGAGAATGGTAGAAGGGGGATGAGAAAGGCTGCGGGGCGAATGACGTTGATGAAATGCTTCTCAGTGGCGAACATGTAACGCGACCTCGGCGGATCGAGATAAACGCATTCGCGAGTCGGATTCCTGCACTCATCCCCTTTCCCCCTATTATCTTCCCTTTTCCTACCGTTCCCCCCTACAGCCTCACCACCTCACCGGATAGCACTGCATTCGCACGACGGCTCTTCCTTTAATCCATTCGAGCTTTATCTCATTGACGAGATAGTTGGCTCGTCGAGATACATCCAAATCCACCGATACATATACTCTCCGACCAGTCGGCATGCCTACGATCGTTTTAATCAGTGGTTCAGATCGACTCGATTGAAATCGGCCGAAGCGCGATTGAGGCCGGCGTCCGCGCCACTATACGCTCTGTTCCACGTAAAACTGAAATCGATACCGTTCGGTTTGCTCACCGCAAAGCTCGTGACGGGATTTCGCGCGAGCGAAACGTGCGAAGCACCGAAAAGTCACAGTTGCGAGAAGCAGAAGTCAGCGAGGAGAAAATTCGTGATTTAAAAACGAGGTCTAACCTACCAGAAGCTGCAGAGATCATAATCTTGAAAATTATAACACTTTCGGAACAATCCTTGCTCTGATATTCCAGAATGTAATTCTAAAGTCTTGAAGATTTTATGCGTGCACAAACTTTTTCTCATAAATCTACTAATGCATAATCCTGATAGAAATATATACAGTTTTCTTAGACGTCCAATCTAGTTGCTACCTAGTATTACTGTTTGTAACAATACATTCATAATTAACCTAATTTGAGAATGATTTTTAATCATTTCTAAAGATCGCCACTGCTTTTACTCAATTTATCATTAATTCAACTAAAACAATGGAATTAAATAATTTAATTTAAGGAAATATATTAAATTTGACTCAAATTTTTAGTTTATTATTTACTAAGTGCATTATGTTGATATGGTTTACTTCGAAAGCAACCACGGAAATGAGTTGATTTACATTTTGACGTACATGGAAGTTAAGAATAACGAAATGTGATTTAACTCAAGAGATTGGCTTACCACTGCTCGTTCAATATTTAACAGTGTACTGCGTAGAAAATGAAGAAAAATTTGATAGAATTTTATTCATTGGCTGAAACAGTTCTGCTAAAAATATGTGCGATTTGCCTTTCTAATTATTGTCTAGCATTAATAGATTATTATTAATTCTAAAATACTGCGTATAATACATCTATTGTCCTGTTTTCGTTCAGTAAATAGGTTTGGATTTTATACATCTTTTGTGTGTGCAATAAGCAGATAAAGCGTTACATCTTCATTGTGATTCCAATTATAAGTAATTTTTATTTTTCAGTTACTAGAGTTACTGAATATATTACAAAGTTAATATAACTGTCTAGTAACTGCTCAAAAAATGCATGAAATTTCTACCAGGAAATATATTCTACGTACATGCATACAAAGTACGAAGAAATAGGAAATATATGATTTCCATTCTTTTTCATATTAATGAACGTGAAAGCAGGTAAAAAACAGATATTGTATTTCCACATTTAATTACGCTCTAGTCTGTTTTCTGCGCGCGTGAAGAGATCGACGCGGAATTCTGAATTCAACGACACCCGAGAACAGCGAATCGATAAGAAGCATACATGGAGAAGGTATTGCTGATTCCACTGCGTTATACCGTACGCATACTAATACGTTCATTCTTATTTATAAGTCGCGGCATAGGTAACGCGGTGAGCCTACGTAATATAGAGATTCCCGAGTAAGACGACGATGGCCTGTTTCGACGTTTAAAAGCATCGTGTTAATACAAGACAAGAGGAGGGGGTGGTGAGAGAAGGGGGAGGGGAAGGAGAGAAGAGCATAGGAGAGCGCCGACTTTCGAAGGAAGGAATTAAACGACTCGATGTAAAGGAGACGAAGGCGCAGCTTCCGCGCGTTCCTCCGGGCTTATCACCCGAAAGTTCTACTCGCGAGCTCGTTTTCTCCTTCTGAGATTTGCTTAATGAGAAAAGTGAATAGAACTGTGGTTGGCGCGCGCGCTACCGAAAGTAGCAAAGTTCTCATATACCGTGTTTCTCTAACCGTCGTCGGCGAACATCTTCGAACCGGGTGTATTCCCGGAGCGCTACGGTCACTCTAGTTTTTTCCCTCGTAGAAAAACCATCCCCTTTCTGACGGTCCTGCGCCACCGCTCTTTTTCTACGATCTTCCCTCGAACGGTCGAGTCCGTACGAGTTTACACTGATAACGGCCCCGTGCTCCCTAAGGATTTCTCGCAGAGGTTTATTCGATAGTCCTCCTCGTACATGTCACATACGTGTAAAAGTACACACACCACACACGCACACATTACGTTTTTTAGAATTTTACCGAACGGACAAGTTTGTACGGGAATCTTGTGCTATTTTTGTCGCGTGATTTTTTTTTCCTTTTCTTTGCTAGAGCAGAGGTTCGTCAATAAGCACTGAAATATTGACTATTATTTAGATAAACTGATAAGAAATAATGAAGAAATAAATCAAAGCATATGTATTTTTTCGTACGCTATTTATGATACAGAAAGAACATCTGCTTCTTTTATTGTTTTCATATCTTGAATGACATTCATCTATTTATTCATTTATTACGAACTTTTCTATACATATACTATTGTTCAGTGTACTGAAATAAATTTAT